TATAGCTTATGTGCTTAAACGTGCCAAATGAACAGTTTTGCAAGAATTACGGGTGTTTATATTTGTTAAGGGTTTGTTCTTGCTGTGACCCCATTTCAGTGAATTCAACGACGGTAACCGTGACGCCGACTCACCGTGGCAACAGCTCCACCACTACAACTCCAGCCTCCACCTTGGGTAGGTCTGACATTTACAATAGCGGGCGTCTCGGTGGTCTTGTAGCTCACTTTAGCATACAGAAAGGTTTCAAATTTTTTATTCCCCCCCCCTGCCAAGAAGCGTCTTGAGCAATATATCAGGTTTATTTAAGCATCTTTTTAGACTTTGCTCGTCACAGAGATGTCATCTGGTATTCACCAATAAAACTTTTTTTTAAATTTATTTATTTATTTTTTAATTATAAACAACCCAAGTTAAAGTGTAAATTTGTTCCATCAACATGCCTCTGGATGATTTATTTATTTATTTATTTATTTATTTTACCCACCTGGGGCGTTTCATCCTGCCTCTTGATTTACAGCATGTTTTTTTTTTTTAATCTACTCAGTCAACTTGTAAAGCAATGAGGTTATGTGACTCCTATAAATTATAGGAAGTGACTCATTCTTATTTTAGTTTAATCAGGGCCATAATTTCATATTTAATAAAAGCTGACAGGCCCAAAGAGTGAATCAGAACCACTGTGAATGGAAATTGGAGTTGAATATTGAGAAAATATAATATTAATAGGGCTGCATGAAAACACATTGCATAGGTATTCAAGAACAAAAATGTGGGCTTAATACCTAAATGTTATTTTCAGGAGCTGCTTTTAATCTGAGAAGACTCGTCTAGACTTTTATTCTAATTTATTGAATATGCCAGCATTTCCACATGTGTTTTAAAAAGTTGTCTTTGACATTGAGCTCAGTCTTTGAGGTTTTCCCCCTCATTTTTAACTCCCTTCATTGCTTCTTTATTAGTTTCAAGTCAGGAATGTTGCTGGAAACTTTGAAACATTCATATTTCTTCCATTTAGAAGAAACATTTTGGCCAAATTTAAAAACTTGCCTTAAACTTAAGTTTGCCAGAGATGTTAAGTGATTGTTGCCAATGCACAGCACCCTGTGATACTCCACACGACAAACTTGATCTAGTCCAGCCTTGTGCTGCTGTCTGGCTCCCTACAGCAGGTTTTAAGTTTCTGTGAAATAAATTTGTCATGTACAAAATAATAAGACTGAAGCCATCTAAATATCAGTAGTAGTGTTTTATTCCTCAGTGCCATAATGAGATCTTACTTGGTTCATCATGAAATCTGGAAAAAAAAAATGAACGAAAGACAAAAAAATCTTCGAAAATTATTTTTGGAAGATTTTTGACTTCGTGAAGCTAAAACTTAAGGAAATCAAAATAAATGGAGCTCCGTTTATACATTTTATTTTTTTTAAATACCACATTTTCTTTTATGTTCCCTTTAAAGCACCGAATACCACAACGGTGGCCCCTCACAAGAACTCGACGTTTGATGCCGCGAGCTTCATCGGTGGAATAGTGCTCGTCCTGGGCCTTCAGGCCGTCATCTTCTTCCTCTACAAGTTCTGCAAATCCAAAGAACGTAACTACCACACCCTCTGAAGCGGCTGCACTTTAGGATCCAAGCCGTCCTCGCCGATTTCGATCCCTCAGCACACATTCGTAAGGGGTGGACTCAAACAGCGTTTCCATACAGTTTTTCTTTTTTTTTTTGTCCTGTTTCTTTTTCTTTAAATGTTTAGACCTGCATGACTGAACGAGTTATTTCATTTCAAAGTGAATCTCCTCCAACATGCATTTAGGTCTCAAGCATGTAGATTACATAAGCAAGCAGCTACCCCCACCTCCATCGTGCCATTAGTCATCCTGCATAGAGCGTTTTCCAGCGAATTGAGTGGGCTTGAGTTATTTACAGCCCCTCTTCTTATGCCTTCCCCAATTAAATGCACCACATGAGAGAAAAACAATTAGCCATGTATACGGAGTAGCTTTTTCCTGCTGAGGCTTGAATATCTATATTATAATTTTATTATTATTATTTTTTTTTTTACCTGATTTGGAAACACTGTTTGAGCTCGTGTTAAATGTGGCAACAGATGATTAAGGATTGCTTTTAGCTTGTGAAATGTTTTTCTCCCTCCACACATCTGATCCATCAGGGGAAAAAAAAAAAGTGACAATTAATCATCTGACGTCAAACAGGAGGAAAATAAGTCTTATTTAAGTGTGGAGTGTTTCTGCTGTTCGGTTCCCACCCCCCACCCCACCTTTTGGAAACCTCTCTCCCAGTACAAGATGTTTAAAAATGTCAAACGCCAACTGCCAGAAGAGCAGCCCGCCGCAATAAATAATGTATAGAGCTAATTTCAGAACCACGAATCTCCCGTATCTTTTCCTTTTCTGATCGTTAAACCCCCGCAGGTGACTCGTCCTTGTCGTTTGCTTTGGTGTTTAAACCGGGTCAAAGTGAATTATTTTAGAATATTTTCAAATTATTTAGTTTTACTGTGCAGAAGAGGATGAGGTGTGGCGCGCGCCTTTCTTGATGTGGACAGTGAAGTGCCTTTGATGTCCAGTGTGAGTGAAAGCAAGTAAAGGGTTTATATATATATATATATATATATTTTTTTTTTGTTTTCTCTTTTTATTTCCATATTGTGAGAAGTAACAGTATCGCTGCGCTGATATTGCTTAGAGCTGTAATGTCCCAGCTGGACTGAAGAGCCTTTTGTTGTTGAAGAAAACAGGATTTATTTCTTTTTTTGTCCTTGAAGGGCCGCCGTTTGGTTCGTAGGTGCGGCAGAAAGACCAAATGCGGCAGGACGACTGCAAGATCACGCTACTACAGACTTTTGGAGTGAATAATTTAAACAGAGTTTCCTTCCACTTTGCTACATCATGGTTCAAATCCGAGTGAGCTGGCAGGAAAATATTTTGATATAGGCGAACGAGCATGATGGTGTACTTTATACAAAAAGATTGTGAAAATATTGGACTTTATCTTTCAAGATGAGTGTCTAGAAGAGACAAAAAAATGTAGACCTGGTTAAGGATTTCACTTCTATTTAATTGATTTGTAGTGTAAAGTTCAGAATATCAGCCGAGAGGCCGTGTTGGAGCCTAGTCTTCTTACTAGCTAGCTGCTAACTTCTTTTTTTTTTCCCTTTGGATTTCTCAGCTTTTGTCCAACCTGTAAATATCCACGTCCTGTTTCTGTCCTGCTGAAAGAGAAGCAAAATGTTGGTCGGAGCGTTTAGCTTTGCGGTGGCTCTACTAATTTTGTATAAATGGCTTTCTTCCCCCCGGTTAATGCATGCTGGATGCTGTTCTCATTGCATATGCAACTAGTACCTTAGACGCATTCAGAAACCACTTGATTATTTGTGATGAGTCCATATGCTAATGGAAGGATGCCTTGAAACCGTGTACATGAAGCCAAAGCCCTCAGTTTTTGGCATGTTTTGTAACCCTTTTGTTTTTTTTCCCCTCCCTTTTCTTTTTTGGTAAATGGTTTCAGGTTTAGCTCACAAATAAAATCAGAGGCTTGTTTGAAATATTTCCGATTATGACCACACAGCAGTTAATGAATGCAGATGTTTGTTTTATGCTTGTATATTTTGAGGTTGCATGGCCTCTCCTTTGCTTTAACGTCACGAGCCGGCAACGTTCCCAGCGCTGCTGCGCCGCTTCGGTCTCCCTCTCTGCTGCATGTCGAGTCCATTTGCACAAACGAAGAGAGATATTTTCGAGTGCCGCTGAGCACGTTCCACTTTCTGCGAACGGCACGTCGACGTCCCGACGTGCCCGAGTCTCGAGCAAAAGTGCCTTATTCAGTTGTCATCCATTTCCATCTGTTGTGAAACGAGATGTCACGGTGACTCGAACGTCAGCCCGACTCGTCACTTTAAGGCTCCTGTGAAGTGCTCTCCCGTGTTCTGCGTACGTTTGTTGCTCTCAGCCTTAATCTTTCCGATCAAGACCCACAGAGCTGATGCAAGGCGACAAGCTGTTCAGGCAACACGCGTAGGCTACTTTCTGTTTCGGTGTAAGCTTAAACGCTGCTTTTGTCAGGATGGAGAAACGTCAAGTAAGTCGTATATTTCGGCTGAAGCAGTGTGGCTGTAGCCTGAACAGCTTCTCGGCAGCTATTTGTGATGAAACACACTGGTGAAGTAACCACAGACGGGCCTGGTGTTCTCTATTTCAACATGCCCTCCACCCCTTTACACGATGACTTGAACTCCACTTCAGTTGTAACCTGCTGATGTTTTCTGTCGTGAAGGATTTCAAAGTGCGACACATTAAGATTCATCTGATCACAATTCAGTTTTCAACCAGACAGTGTTGGCCTTCTTTGCCTTGTCGCTTTATTGCTAATTGCACACACACATTGTAGCGCTGTGTCTTTCACTGTCCATTTGTCTTGTTGGTACAACTTCTGGCTTTTCTCTCACACCACTCTTAACACAGAAACGTATATAGCCATATGTAGACACTGAACGGTGCCACAATGCCTCCCCTTGAATGGTCTTTGCTTCTTTTTGTGCCTCTCAGTTGTGTTTTTGTTTTTTGGGGTTTTATTTTCGGCCTTGTTTTCTGGTGTTGCCTTTAGTTTTACAATGTTAAACCAATAAAGTTTGAATATCGTTAAACAAGTCTCTGCGTTTACTCTTCATATGAAACCTGTGAGAGTGTGTGTGTGTAGTTTACCTAAGTGGGACAAGGATGCATTCACTGTTGTGGTTACAGCTGCCCTGATGATGAAAGGTGTCGTATCAAGTTCTACTGATTCTTTGTCTTTAGTGCAACTTAATACTGACCCAACAGATTCGCCGGGAGCAGAGGAAGTGAGTCTGCAATATTCTGCGCTGTGGAAAAGTTGTTTGCATCCTGCTTTTCGTTGCGCTTTTTAGATCAACTAACAAATTTGCATGTCGGAAAAAGAGAACCCGAGTGAGATGATGCAGATTTCAAATGATCTGAGCTGAAAGAAGCTATTCAAGTATAAACACTTAACACAAGTGTTTGTGGTGACTTGTCTTTAACGCCTCTGGAAGAACTTTGGTCAATTTTTTTTTTCTTTGCAGAATTTTTAATTTAGCCAAGTTGAGTGGGTTTTGGGCATGAACAATTTTTTTTTTAAGGTCAAGCCACTGCATCTTAATCAGCTTTAAGTCCAGACTTTGAGTAGGCTGTGCCAAAAGCCTCATTTGTTGTTTCACAAGTGATTTTTCTTCCTCAGGATTTTCAAGTAGAGAGCAGAATTCATGGCTCTGTTAAAGATGGGAAGTTTTCCAGGTTCTGATGCAGCAAAACAACCCCGGACCATCACACTGTCAACACTGTTTGACTGCATATTGGTTCTTTGAACTGCTGCTACAGAATATTAATATTTGTATAAAAAAAAATCTTGGGAATCAGGAACTTTTTACCAAAAGAAATATGCCTCTCCCCCCCCCCCCCCCATTATGAAATGTTCTACACTTTTTCAGTATGGCCCATGTGATTCTTTACTTAATAAATCAGTAGATTAACCTCAGATGATGAAATAAAAACCATTCTGACATTTTCTGCGGTATAGGAGTGACATTACCCAGTTAATCCGTTGTGTCTTAGCTGTGCACCGTCTGTGGAAGAACTGCATCTGCAGACCAAACCTCATAAATCTTCTCCCATATATTGTTGAATGAGCTTAAAGAACTTCCCCAGTTACAGTTGTTGCTATTGTACCTTTTTTCTTCTACACTTTTTCCTTCCACTAAACCTTCCATTAATATAGTTGGATAAAGCACATTGGAATGCCGGCTTATTTTGTAACTTATCCCTGTAGACGATGCTAATGACTACTTGACGTCAGCGACCCTCTCCAAGTTTAACATGGTCAAAACAATGTTTTATTAATCCTCTCTATGCCTTATAATAAGCCCCCCACTCTCCTGAATTTAGGGGTTTCATTGGCTTTTAGCCATTAATCTACCTTCAGATCATCTGTACAGTGATACCATTATCTGCTCACAATAAATGGGCTTTGAAAAGCTAAAAAGTGCAAAGCTTACCACCCTCAAACTAGATAGAAAACTTTAAAATCCACAAAAACCAGTTGTTTTAAAAAAAAAAATGTAAGCACCTCCAAATAGGACACTTTCTGTGACCCGGCAAAGTTCTGCTCTGTACTGATGGAAACAGTAGAGAGGATGTGTGTGCAGCATCTTACCCGTTTGTTGAACTTCTTGTCCTCCAGCCTGTTTTCCTTTAGTTATGCTGATACTCTTGTTCTTCATGTGTCTGTAAAAGGAATTGTGAGTTTATGTTTGGTCCTCAGTAGATCTCTCGTTCCTCTCTCAAGGACATCTCCAGTAAGCTTTTCTCTCAAGGAAATTCTGTCTTAAAGACAGTGGACAGATGTTTCCACTTTATTTAAAAAAGCTCCCTTGAGTTATCATTTTGCTCCTGTTCGCACTGAAAAGATACTTTCAGCAAAAATGCTGTGGATTTTTGTTTTGTCAAGACACACCGCTGCCATTCAGACAAAAAACTTGGAAGTTCAGTCACAAGGTATCAAAGTTGCGTGGTCAGGAGAGGAATGGACGCTGCATACGAGGGGCAAGGAGGGATCTCGACTCCACTAACCTGATTGTCGTCTCCAGCCACGCTCTGTAATCTAATATAGAAAAACAATGGATTACGTTCAGTCTCTGTTGGTCATGCAATCGACTCCTGATCAAGCCAAGAATACCAGGACCAGTAAATGTCAGCTGCTGCACAACAAGCAGAAATCCCTGGGCCTTTTTCTTTCCTTGCTGTACTGTAACAGCAGGGTCAAAGTGGAAACCTGATGGCACATTAAACAAGGAGATAAATCTGGAAATGTTATGAGGGAGTTGGACATGTTGTTCTTTAGCCCGTAAATGGCGACTGATCAGCCTAGATGAATGTAAAGCTGTTGGAAATGTGAGAGGAAAAAAAAAAATCATGTGGCCAGCATCAAGCCAGGAGCTGATGGCTTTCTCACATTCAAAGTAAAAAAAAAAAAAGACTGAGGTTAAAAACCAATTCTTCCTGCTTAAGTTAACAAAAACTATGGTCACAGTTTCCTGATTATCACAATATTTTAAAGCTTTTCACTAATAAATGAAAATAACTACTGAATCAAAATCTGCACAGAACAAATTCTATATTAAATCATGCAACTGCATGATTTCACAGTGAAAAAAAGAAAAAAATCTTCAAATTTGTCCTGCAGGACTGCCATCTAGTGGTGCCTGCTATGAAGTTCTGAAAAAAAAAAAAAGAGTCAACGTGTGCATTTAAAATACGAACAAATCATTACAAGCTATTCACGAATAAGCTTTATTAAAATATAGTGATCATTAAAACATAATCTAGCTCATTTCTATTTGAGGTGAGAGACGTTCAGAACTGCAGACTATTGTTGGTGTCGTAATAATCCATTGAGTCCGGCTTAAAGCATTTTCTATACCGATAAAAGTCTGTGACAGGAACAAGAAGAAATTTTCGTCTTCCACTAAGCTGAAGTATCAAAAGCAGGACAAAGAAAGAGACTCATGTTTCCCAGGACAGGTCGTCTTGCTTTAGGCCGTTTCTGAACTTCTGGGTCTCTCTGAGGAGCTGCAGGTTGTTCTGACCCGCAACGCCTTTTCTTCCCGCTCTCCGTTTGTCTTGAACAGGTGAGGGAACGGGCAGCTTGATCCCAGGCGTCTTCCTGACCGACGGTTCCTCCGAACGTTGCCGGGACAACTTATGAACCTGCAAAAGAACAACAACAAAAAAAAGAATAATAAACTTATTTCCAGGATTCAAGATAACTTTACATTTCAAAACTTTATACGTCTAGATTTTCTTTTGGGAAGGTTTTTAAAACATTCTGAATATTTGATTAGAAAATAAGTATTTATCGTGTTGCACAAATTATGAAAATATGATGCAGAAGTTGGTTTCTTAATAAATAACCAATTAATTGAATTAAGAGCAAATCTGCCATGATGATCTGAACTTTTTAAGTCAAGTACCATCTGCTGATGTTTGCGGAGTTTGGTGATCTGGGCTCCCTTCTCCTCCATCTTGGTAGTGAGTCTTTCCAGTTCTTTCTGCAGGTCCTCGCGCTGCTCCGGTTCTCCGGTTGCTTCCATCTGACGCTCCAATTCCTGATGGTCACTGACGAAAACATTTGCAAAAAGAGATTAAATAAAAAAAACACACACACACACACACACGTACAAAATAAAATTACTCACAAGCTCATCTGTCCGAGCTCATCCTGCAGGGCCAGCAGCAGGTCGGACAGTAAAGTCAGTGACTGATCTGCAGGCGGACTGCCAGGCTTTGGGACGCTATCAGAGAAGTGTGTGTGAAGGTTTTTCTTGACGCTGCATCCACACGTCTTCAGGGCGCTCACTCGCTCACACAGCTGAGGCTGGTGGTGCTTCATCATGTGGAGGATGCTCTGAACGTTGGCGTGCACCGAATGGCTCGGGCTTGTCGACTATGACGGGTAACAGCAAGCAGAAGTTAAGACTGAGTAAGTCATGAAAGAAGAAGATCTGTGCACAACATGAGGTGACTTACTGTTCCTATAACAAAAGGCATCTTTTTGTGCCCCAGGCTGTTTGCTGCCAGCTCATTCTGTTTCAGGGTTTTCTTGAAAAAGAAGTCAGGTTGTTTAGCACTGTGATGTATAAATCTTTCAGATAATGCGCACACCAGCAGTTTATTACACCTTGTTTGCCTTTTTGGTTTTCTTCTTGGGCCTCGTTTCTTCAGTAGGTGGAACAGACAAACGAAGGTTTATATCC